CCCGGGATCAAGTCCCACATCGGGCTCCCTGCTCGGTGGGGGGTCTGTTTCTCCCTCTGACCCGCTTCCCTCTCGTGCTCTCTGTCTCTCATTCTCTCTCTCAAATAAATAAATAAAATCTTTAAAAAATAAATAAATAAATAAATAAATAAATAAATAAATAAATAAAACAGTGCTTTATACATGGCAACCATTTGATTGAATATGAGACCTTTATACTAAAGTTTCAAACCTAGAAAACATAAATACAGTGTGATTTTTCACAGTAGAGGAGCACACTTCCATTATTAAGGAATTCCCCCCCCCCAAGATTCCTTCAGAAACTGAAGCAATTGACAGTTTGTTGACTGGAAGAGTACCCACAGTGGCAGCAGTGTGCTCAGTGTAGACACAAGTCATCCACAAACATGCATTAATTTTTGTGCCCACTATGTGCAAGACCCTACCACAGTATCACAGCTCCCAACTCCTCACTGTCTGGAGAGTTCTACCCAGAAATGTATGTGGCGTGTTTGAACTTATTTATTTATATACTCACAATAGATGTTTTCTCTAATGTTGACTTATTTTAATGCAAAATGAGTTCCTTCCTCTAATAAAGGTATCACATTCTACATGAAGTCGGTAAATCATAAAGAAAGAATAATCACACTTCTCAGAATGTGTTTCCCTGTTGGAGCCAATCCTGAATAGCTATTAATAGGACTCACTAGTAGTTGAATTTCAGGGAATGCTAACATTTGATTTAATCAGCCAGAGCTCCTCCAGATTAGTGTAACATGCCAAAAGTGTCACCTCTGAGTTTCTACCACATTCTCTCCAGGGAAAGTAGAGGAGGTGCCACAAACACTGGAGGCTAGTGAAGTGGCAGAGCATGCATGCTTTAAACCTAAGGAAAGCTCCAAAGATTAGCAATGGAAGGCCATTTTCATTAGAGGGAACAAAAGGAGGCAGAAAGAAAGAAGCTCAGAGCTACCTTTGATGATGACTGGTATGGCGAAGCTGGGCCCTCAGCAAAAGGCCATGTGACTGCTGCTCCCACGTCCTTGCCTTTGGGTTCTAGCAAACACTGAAGAGCCTGTGCTTCAGGTGTGTTTCTATTATCCTTATCATCTTCCTCACCTTCTCAAAAGGTAGGAAGGCAACATGTATTATTATCATGTGTGCCAGTTATGAAGCTGTTAACTCTCAGTTCCAAATCCATGTTGCTCTGCTTTACTTTGGTGCTGTGGCTGGGATTCTGAAAACTATGTTCTTCTTTTGTCATCTGTTCTTGATAGGTTATTACCAACAGGGAGCACTAGACGGAGTCTGGGAGACTCGAGGAAAGGTCTTAGTCTTCCTGTTTGCTTGCTGTTTCAGTCAGCATCTCTCAGCAATGGCTTTTTGCCCTGGCAAGGCAACCGACCCTGGTCTCCATTGTCTTTTTTGGCATCCTCAGACCATCTCACCTTGCCCTCCCCCAAGATCTGAGTGCAGTTCTGTGGGACCCCTCCTCTCACTTTCTAGGTTCTCATCACCCCAACCTCTTCCCTTGGTTCACCCAGTGCAAGGGTGGGATTGCTTCTTGCAGTTACTATCTCTGTGATATTCTAGAGTCCCTTTCTGTTTTTTCCATTTTTTCAACAATCATTTAACCAGTTTCTTATTCTAAATTCACTCTGTTGAAATACCAAGTGAGGTATCTGCTTCCTCTAATTGATCACTATGTCTGCTCCAAAAGATTTGGGAAAACAGGGGCAACAAGTACGTGAAATCCATTCTCTATCCTTCTCCATAGCCCTATCTGCACTGTCCCTCCCACATGAATATACAAGTTACCCAGTGAAAGTGTTCATGTCCAAGTAAGGTGTCAGCTGGTAATGGCTTAAAATGTAAACTCTCAAGTTATCGATATTGTTCAAAAGCTTTCTGAAGTTATGTTTTAAGTCATATGGAAATGTTTAGTTAATTTCTGGATGTTTGGCACTGAGCTGGACACTATCAAGGAGAGAAGGAAGTTATAAGGATGGTATAAAATAATGTCCCTTCTCAAGGAACTGTAATTAAAAGAGGAAGAGTCAATGTACACATATTAATAAGAGAAATATATGAAACACAATATAATTATAAACAGTTGGATAGTACATACCACAAATGCATTAGGAGGTAAGAAATAGAAGAGGTCATTGGGGCCAAAGTAACCAGGAGGACCTCACATAGATTATGAGGTGGACTTGGAAGGATTCAGAAATGGAAAGAGAATGGGGAAAAGCTGTCTCGACCTGGAAAGCAGCATAAACAAGGCCACAGAAATGGAACATTAGACTTTGCTATGCATATCCATTCGTACCAATTAAATGTGAGTTTGCCATTATATAGATCCTCTACTAGGTTTGCCACCCAAGTAGAACCCAGACTCTGGTGAACTTATAAATAGTCAAACTAACTGGGATATCATCTGCCACTTAAAAGGAGTGTGAAAATCAAAGTGTCACTCAACTGTGGTCATTTAGAACCATAGCTTATATATTGTTACTAACAGCTGGGGATTTAATATTTGGGATTAATATCCTGGTAATCCTTTTGATTGACTTGGAGGTTTGTCCAAGAAGTTTCCATCCTTCACAAATGACTCAGATGCAAATACCAAACACAACTGCTTGTTGGAGAAAGCCTGAGGAGCCCACAGTAGCCTGCTTAATTAAAATCAGATCTCCAGAATCAGATCTATTTTTTTTATTTATTTATTTGAGAGAGAGAGAATGAGAGAGAGCACATGAGAGGGGGGAGGGTCAGAGGGAGAAGCAGATTCCCTGCCGAGCAGGGAGCCCGATGCGGGACTCGATCCAGGGACTCCAGGATCACGACCTGAGCTGAAGGCAGTCGCCCAACCAACTGAGCCACCCAGGCGCCCCAGAATCAGATCTATTTAAAACAAAATACAAACTGAGCAAATTATGACTCTTGATACTGGTTAGAATCAGGTTTTAAAATGGGATTTTAAATGCCTTTTATAAAGTTACATGAGGAATCCAGTAGATTATGCCACCACTTTCACCAAGCACTTTCTTAAATCAGTAAAGTCATGTGGGAGCAGAATTCTTTAAATTACAAGCAAAAAGATAATAATAGAATTAAATCCTGACCTTTCCCATAAAAGCAACCACCCTCTTCCTCACCCCTACCCTTCTCTAATTTACAGTAACATAATCCATATGGAAGAAATCCCTGTGTGTTTGGGAACCAAGTCCTACACTTCTTTTCCATCACAAAAGCCAGTTGTTCTTCAGAACCATCCATCAGGATCATATTACACTCTGAGGCATAAAAAAGGAGGCCTGAGCTCAGACCTCCTGCTGAAAAGTTAAGTTGTCAGTTGTTAGGCAGAAAATCAATCAGAAATGCATTTGGGACAATGGCGTGCTGCCTGGAATTACACCAGGCTGGAAAAGAACCAACCCAGAGGCAGAATACTAATGGTTGGAGATACCCTTTCTGTCTTAGACAAGGCGGATCAATTTATTTAGACACATTTGCTAAACGGAAATACGCTTACCAAGTCTCAGATTTACATACAATTATAGCAGAACATTTGCAAAATTTTCTCAGAAGGATCAAGATACTCTATTTCTCAACATGTGCCAGTAACTTCAAAATTGTTACGGATTGCTTTAGCTAACTCACATTCCTACCCCTAGGTCTTGCAGCAGATACAGAGACTTTGCCACAGTTTGGGTAATTTATCATATTTTTGCAAATGCTCATGGAAGACACATGGGTAGCTAGTATTACTACAAGCTCACTGTAGCCCCTTACTGAGTGAATAGGAGGCAGGCAAAAATCTTGGGCCACTCTTCAACATGTTGATTAGTCTTATTTCCAAAGTAGTAAGAGAGTTCGTTAGAATCTAATGCCAATGAAATTGGTCCTTGGTCCCTTATGAGTAATTAAATATTAATATTTAAAATAATAAATAATAAAAATGAATATTAAAAATAATAGCTAGCATGATTTGAGCACTTATTATGAGCTAAGCACTTCACATGCTCCTCTAATCCTCCCAACCATATTAAGAAGTAGGACCTCTTCATTTCACAGACAGAGAGAAACTAAAGTTTAAAGAGGATGAGTCATTTATTCAAGGTCACCTGGCTGATGGGAGGGACCAGAAATCAAGGTCAAGCTGAAGGATCCCAGATTTCCAGGCTCACCACTTGGTAATGCCACCTCCTACACAGGTAAATATCCACGCACAGAGGAAGATGGCTCTAAATCATGCATAACTGCCTCAACCCCAAGCGAACCACCTCCCAGGGGTTTTAGTGCCAACAGTTTCAAGAAAAACCAGAGAGCTTGGCACTATCACACTCAGAGCCCTCCTGGGTAGGGGTTGTGGTAACTTCCTGTTTGTTATCTTAAGTATGAAGGCCAACAAGTTATCAACAACCTTGATTATGTGCTTAGAAAGTTTGAAGCCAGGCTGTGCTCATGTTCCAAGCCTCATCAACCAATCACTAAACAACTAGCAGTCCCTGTAGTAGTAAGAAGTATGCCTTTCTACATTCTCTATTCACCTCTTCATTGTGGCATGCTTTTGCCTGGTCTTCTGGAATTTATCAAACACAGATGTGTTTATTTGAGCGATCCCTTCCTTACCACTAGCTAATGTAACTGCAGTAGTCTTCCTTATTTGTGGGGGATACATTCCAAGACCCCCAGCAGATGCCTGAAACCACAGAGAGTACTGAACTTTATATATACTAATGTTTTTACCTATATATACAAACCCATGATAAAGTTTAATTTATAAATCAGGCACAGTAAGAGATGAGCAACAATAATAATAAAATAGAACAATTAGTACACTGTAATAAAAGTTACATGAATGTGTGCTTTCTCTCTCTCTCTCTAGGTATCTTACTGTACTGTACCACCCCTCTTGTAATGATGTGAGATGATAAAATGCCTACATGATGAGATGAAGTGAGATGAATGATATAGGCTTTGTGACTACTCACCTTCTGATGATTCTTCAGAAGGATGATCATCTGCTTCTGGATCTCTGTTGACCACGGTAATAAACTGCGGAAAGCAAAGCGAAATCTCAGATAAGGAGGGACTACTGTTCTCAGAGTAATTGCTTTAAATGCTGTAATTAAAATCTCCAAAGACTTTCAAGCTTTTATTCCTACTAAAATACACCTGTGGGGAAAAGAATTATCTCTACAGATGCAAAGACTGAGGCTCAGAGAAGTAACAAAACTAAAATTTTCGGGGCGCCTGGGTGGCTCAGTTGGTTAAGCGACTGCCTTCGGCTCAGGTCATGATCCCGGAGTCCCGGGATCGAGTCCCGCATCGGGCTCCCTACTCAGCAGGGAGTCTGCTTCTCCCTCTGACCCTCCTCCCTCTCATGCTCTCTGTCTCTCATTCTCTCTCTCGCAAATAAATAAAATCTTAAAAAAAAAAAAAAAAAAACTAAAATTTTCTAAGTGCACTGTTTGAGTTAGTGAAATAGGAAATGACGGAAACATCTGGTCATGCTGCTGAGGCTCTCGGAACTTGGTAATACAAGTTCCTTGCTACAGGGCGGACAGTTCACAGCCTTGAATGTATAATTGTTTCTTCTGTAACTCCTTCACTCTCGCGGTCCCCCAGTTAACTCATAATCAAGTTCTTACTCTAGTGCATGCTCTATGTGCAACAACCACATTTCCCAACATTGAATTATGCACACACTGGTCTGGGATTCTCATGAGATAACCTCCATTCTTAAGAAACGGCTGCTGAGATAGCACAGTGAGGCAGTTACATGCACTGATAACTGCAGTCAAAATGCCTATGTTCAAATCCCAGCTTCCACCGCATGTGACCTTGAGCAAATTAATTAATAACTCAGTGCCCTGTTTACCCCATCTACAAAATGAAAATAATAATGGTTCTTAATTCATAATCACTGTGAGAATTAAATGAGTTCAGGCTAGCCTCTAAACAATTCCTAAAACAGTAAATATTTGCCATTTTTACTTTTCAAACAACCTTCTTTCTTCAATCTCAGAGAAATCACTCTTTTATGCTGACACATTTGTATTCCCTCTCAGTCTCATTCAGAAGGTTCTAATCAAATAAAACGAATCATCTACTTCTTCCTCTCCTCCCTTCCTCAGAACCACACTCAAAGCTGACACCATAGTTGTTGGATCTTATCTTAGTCCCATATGCAGGCTGTGGATGTACTGGTTTTTCTCTCAAAATGTCAGGCTTCCCTATACACAGAAATGATTCTAATTTTATAACCCTCAGAATAGATGTCACTTCTTAGTAGAATCACAGGCCATTTCTGCCTCTTAAGAGCCAGAATATGATCAAAAAATAATCAGAAATCCCCTCTTCATCTCCACCCCCAATTTAGGGCACTATTCTGGGAAATCTGGCAACATGGACCTCAGAGTCCAATGGTCTTGATGGCATCTTCCTTTTTCAACCTCAGATTGCTCACTAACACAGACACTGCTAATGGTTTCCAAATATTTATTCTTCCCTTTTTCCATTGCAGTAGAATTTTTGCTGGGCTCATGGCCACTAGAATAAAGATTACATTGCCCAGCCTTTTGTCCAGTTTGGTATAGCCATGCAGCTAAGTTCTGGCCAATGGGATATAAGCATAAGGTGATATGCCCCACACCACTTCTAGATTGTGTTCTTAAAGAGGGGGGGGGCAATCTCTTTTCTGCCCTCCTCTGAGCTACTGCTTAAAATGTACATTTGGTAGCAAGATAACGTGGGCCATGTGGATGACAGCAATATCCAGAGACATTGAAGCAACAAATAGAAGGAGCCTGGGTCTCTGGAGAAGCTAATAGAGCAGAACAGAACTACTGTACCAGCCCTGGTCTACCTACCTTGGGACTGTACAACAATTAGAAATAATATAGGTCTAATCCACTGTAATTTGGGGTCTTTTTTACATACAGCTTAATCTACCTCCTAATACACTCATCCATTTTGTATTCATTTTAAAGGAATTTACTTCTGTCCTGATTTTAGATTTAGCCTTCTGTAAGAGTTGCTATATTTCCTTGATTCTAATCCTTTCCATTTACCCTTTTAAAGTGCATGCTCAATAGTATATAAATTTCATCTTAAGTCTTAATGTTTTGTTATTTCATGTAAAGGTAGTGACTTCACTGCCAAAAAATAATTTCCCCCCCAGATGTTCTATATTAATTTGATGTAGGACTTTGGACTTACCTGGCATCCATTTTCTTGATCTCCATATACTTTATCTATGCCAGAATTCCACATTTCTGAACGATAATGATGCATATTATGTCTTTGTTATAATTTTATTTATTCCTTTCTTATTTTCAATGATATGACTACTTAGGGATAAAACCTAGGTTTGGTGAAGCAAAGATATATTTATGTACATTTTTCATGTGTTGTATATCTTGTTTCACCAATAAGAAATTTCATTTGAGCATTTGGTTTATGCTATACATCTTTAAATATTTTTGTGGGTATTTCAGTTCATTATTGTTAATGTTTTATTTATAATTTCACTTTTCACTTCAAAGATAAACTTCCTCAAATTTATCTATATGAAATTTATTGTAGGTATCAATGTGGTTTTTTGAGTTGCTACCTCAATTCAGGGTGGTTTTTTTCCTAATTAATATTCAGTTTATTAATGTTACCAAGGCAAAAAGTTTTCCTTAAGCTTTTGATTTCAATTTATAAGCTTTATTCTATTTATAAGTTGTGGTAATCATTTATATGTATATATCAAATCATTATACTGTGCACCTTAAACTAATATGTTATATGTCAATTAATCTTAATAAAACTAGAAAAAGTAAAATAAAATGATTAATTTTAACAATTACTCTTAAAAAGTCAAATCAAATATTTTATTAATCTTTGATCAACTCAATTTGTTCGGTTCTTTTATAAACTTAATATCTCTCCTAGGGGCGCTTGGGTGGCTCAGTTGGTTAAGCATCTGCCTTCCGCTCGGGTCATGATCCTAGGCTCCTGGGATAGAGACCCACATGGGCCTCCCTACTCAGCAGGGCTCTGCTTCTCCTTCTCCCTCTGCCCCTCCACCGCCCCCCCCACTCATGCTCTCTCTCTCCCTCAAATAAATAAATAAAATCTTTAAAAACAAAGATCTCTCCTAAACATTTTTTTGCTATATTTACATATTTAATATAATCATATATTTAAAATCATCTTTTAAATGCCACTATAAGGAAAACTCTTCCAGGCACTTAAAAATTCAACTAAATTCAATATATTAAATTTAAAATACAATGAATTTTAAGCTCTCCTAAATACTGAATACTATTTACAAACTTAGTAAAATATTTTATGCATTTCAACTTAAAAATCGTTAAGTCTAAATCAGCTGCTGAATTACATATCTTAAATTGAAATCATAAAGCTCATGTGTTTATAATATATTCAATTTTCTTCAAATCCAAGTGTGTACCTATTCTAGTTAAATTAACAGAAAATTAGTAATATTATGGGTTTGACTTAAATCATTATCTCTAAGATTAATCCATGTTTCCCTTGGGTGAAAATAATTTTGTGTACTAAAGGAAGCAAGTTGGAATTTGTTATCTCAAGTGAATTGGAGTGACTGTCTTGGCATAGTGAGGTTGCTCGTTCTCCAAAGGCTTTGGCCAGGATTGACTTTCCACAGGCCATTAATGGACAAGGGTAACCCTTTCATAGAGCCATTCTGTCAAGAGGGAATCCAAGCCTGTGCCCTCCAAATAGGTCAGTTTTACGGCCCCATGAATTTAAGTTACACATTTTCTATTTCTTCAATCTGATTTGAGTCTACAAATCTCCACCAAAATTGTTTCAGCACTTAATTAGGTTTAACTAATCCATTTACTGCTGGATTCTGTTCTGAATAATTTTCATATTTTGCCATGGGCTCCCACTACAAATCTATAGATATTTAAATAACATCTGATTGAATTCTGCATATTTTTCATTTCTGTATGACTTGACAGACCCCAGACATCATACTAATGATAATAAGGAGAGGTGTACATCTGGACATTATTAGTTAGAGCCCACTGATAACAATACATGCCTGTAAACTGCTTTTACATTTTTCAAATCATTTTCATCCACAATTGACATTGTTAAAACTGATATTTTTGTTGTTAAACTTGCAGAGTAAATCTTATCCTATTTTTTTTTAAATCATTTGGGTTTTTATTATAAAAGCAATGCAGTAGGCAGGGCAACCTGTCTTTAAAGCATAAAATCATCTGCTATCCAAGGAATCTCCTGCCTAACCTCATGCTAAGCTACATGAACTGTGGCTCCAGAGCTAACTCTTTTTTAAAACTGCCACTCCACATAACCTTTATAGGTAACTTAATTTTGAAATAATTTCAGACTTCCAGGAAAGTTTTAAAAATAATATGAAGAGGGGCGCCTGGGTGGCTCAGTCGGTTAAGCGTCTGCCTTCGGCTCAGGTCATGATCCCAGGGTCCTGGGATTGAGCCCAGCGTCAGGCTCCCTGCTCAGTGGGAAGCCTGCTTCTCCCTCTCCCACTTCCCCTGCTTGTGTTCCTGCCCTCGCTATCTCTCTCTCTCTGTCAAATAAATAAATAAAATATTTTTAAAAATAATAATAATAATAATAATATGAAGAATTCTCACATACAACACCAAGATTTCTCAAATATTTCTCATTTTATCCCATTTGCTTTATCATATAATTGTCATATATTTTCTGAAACACTTGAAAATAAGTTTTAGACAGAATATCCCTTTACCTTTAAATGCTTCCACTGTATTTCCTAAAATAAAACATTCTTATACATTATCACACTGCAGTTGCCAAAATCAGGAAATTAACACTGATGCAATACCATTACTAATTCCAATACCATTACCTAATTTATAGACAGATCATTCGCAAAGTTTGCCAACTGTCCACTACTGTGCTTTAAATGATCCAGGAGTAAATCTAGGGTTACAGATTACAGATTACAGCTAGTTGTCTTATATTTTTTTATCTTCTTCTTTTTTTTTTAATTGGAGTATGGTTGACACACA